GTCATCTCTCCTACCCCTGCTCTCCTTACTCCTGCATTCAGGTGAAAATGTGATCTCCTGTTCCGTGATCGCTTCTGCGCCCCTTCCAGCGCTGAATATCTTCTAAAATAGGCAGGGTTGGGGGAGGGGTGGGTGGACTGCAAATGAAACCATTTTCCAGTTTGACAGGAGATTATAGGACTCCTTAAAATAGCCTCCTTGAATAATTTAGTACAAGTCTATTTTGCTGACAGATAACGAAATCGCAAGATTATTATAGCGCATAAATGTGAATGCGGCGGGGCGTGTCAGAAAGAAGGATTGGAGCTTGGCAGCGGTCGCGTTTTCCTTGAAAAGTGGCTTTATCCGGCTCGGAACTCGGTAGAAAATGCGACTGTCGCTGAGCTCCAGACCTCTGACACGCGCTGCCGCGCCCCGTGCCATACATAGTTTCAGTCCAGTGTACCCTTTCTAGGACCGCTCTTGTACTTCGCGATCGCGCGATGCAGTCGAGTGGTCCGATCGCACTACCGCGAAGTCTGAAAGCGGTCTAATTTTTGTTCATTTTCCGTCATTTGCCGATGTATTTTTGATTTTTAGGTTAGTGAACTACCTCCCGTTACAGCTGAACAATTTCGCGATAAAGTTTTAACCTTCAGAAGCGAGCAAGAGGTAACGTGATTGAAAATCTTCAAAAGAAGTCCTTATATAGGATTCATCTCTTGCTCAACCTTATTTCCACCCCTTAGCATTATTTAATTCAGGCTTTGAAAAAACAAGAAGAAGATGTGACTGCATTGTATTGTGCAACATGTAAAAAGAAACTGAAATCACAAAATGCATTAGCAGACCATGTGGCGAGCAAGAAACACAAGGAAATGGAGAACAGAGTGCAGAAAGGTCCTAGGCAACCTAAAAAGGTTGGCGGTTTTATTTAGCCATTCTTGTTTATCACTAACCATTTGGAAATTCATGATCTCGCTCCGCTGATAGCTCGACACGACACTGGGAAGCAGCAGAAATGCTGAAAACCTCCCACCCCCCCCCCTCTCCTCTGCACTGCGCCTAACTTTCATAATCGTCCAGGAATCGAAGATTTTATCCGGTGGAATGGGGGATACAAATCAAGACTTGCCTACCCACATTTTCTCAAAGTTGGACCGTACTGCAACATGGGAAAGGGTCACAAAGTTGGGTCGAAGAACATGGGTCAAGTTGGAATGTCAGCTGCTAATCGGTATTCAAATAGAAGCCGATGCCAAGGCTATGTGGAAAATTCTCTCAAGTATTGGTTCAAGAAGGGCCATGTGTGCCGGGATCCGATGCCTAAGCCACCCGCCATATTCTAAACAGGCACATCATGAGAGTTGTGTCGTGTCCATGAAACGCTCTTTCCTTGCCATGACATCTTCAGACACCGATTTGTGAAATCCACTCTAATGCGCTCTACGACGTGAGCGATCTACCATCTGTAACTCAAGAGATGTAGGGATGATCGTATCGACTTTAGCTGGGGTTCTCAACAGCCTGTTCTGTACTCAGCGATTTTGAGTGAAGTGGTCAGATAATGAGGCTAACAATGAGAGAGGGAAGCGACAGCGCGGCTCGACGTGCTTCGGTGCGCCCTCGCACTGATATGATCTCTTCCTCCCACATGCTTAGCATTAGGCTGCGTTCATACTTTGCGGCAGCGTCCACCAGCGCCTCGATTGACTAGAGAAGTATAGGTATCGATCTAAGCAAGCAGTGTCCATTAGCGCGGGGGGGGGATGTCGCTGGCGTACGAGCAGCGTCATGAGGGGATTATGGGGAAGCAGGGGCGGGTAGCAGATAGCTGGGATTGGGGAGGCGTGGCGTGAAATTGTCTCGTGTTGGCAGTGGGTTACGGTGCGGACAGTGCCACGTGGGCGAGGACTTTCACGGAGTTCGGACTGAGATCAGCTGCTCTTGTGCCGTCCTATTCCCCATATCATAAAGTTGGTGGATGATGGCGTACGCTGACGCAAAGTTAGAGCGCAGGCTCAGAAAGCCTCGACGGCTTGATTAGGTGTGGTCCAGGCTCAACGTCCCCTCCCCCACCCGCCTTCCAACTGCCTTAGTCCATAAATGTTTTCTGTGTTAAGACAGAAAATGCCATCTGGTGGATTTCCAATCTTGCCTTCAGTTTCTTGCAATCGCGCATGCATCTGGACCTGTTGGAGTAAATGCAAGTTGATTACTAAACTTATTATCAGCACATCGTCTTGGGGTGCTGATTTTTCAATCCACAGAGCGTCGTCCAGTGGGTCGAATCATGGCTCAGCTACCGCCAGCCAAACCTACCCTGCGGGGAGGGGGGGGAGGGACTAAGGGGACGGTGAATTGGTATCGAACTCGTTTGGGAAGGATAAAAACACTAACTTGTACATCGCGTGGCCTCACTAGTCATTGTATGAGCCCCATCGCATTCGATAAGCCACTACGATTTTGAATGAAAGACGTGCTGCACAGAACGGAATTGATCGACGGCCAAGACTTAATCCTTTTTATCCTTCCAGAAAGCTGTCTTTTGAAAAGTGATCGTAAAAGTTTTATTCCCGATATCATTCAATGTTTTCTCAGAAGAACCCGCAAGAGCCGACCTCCTCTCCAGCAGAAAAGCCAGATGAAAACATGGAGACTGAAGAGGATGAGGAGGAGGATGACAGCAGCTCAGGATGGGTGACTGATCACGGGCTCGGACGAAGAGGATGAAGATGTTGACTTTGACGAAAGCAAGGTGCTCATTTCTTTAGAAACTCTTTTTCTTGAGTTTTTTCGAGAAATCACTTTTACTTATCTGTGTCACTCACCTCTGAAGCTTTCGTACTGCAGGCAATTCCTATCACTTCGTGTTTGTTCTGCCCACAAACAACATCTTCAAAAGAAGAGGCAGGAGAGCATATGAGATTTCAACACGGATTTGCTTTACCTGATAGGAAGTACTTGGTTGACGAAGACGGTATGCTTAAGTATTTAGGTGGGTTTTCAAAAAATTCTGCTCCGCGAGCCATCCTCTTCTCTGCTATTTAACTACATACTGTATGGTACATTTCATTTCTCGGTTTAGAGGGGGGAGTGTCCACGATTGTGAGCTTGGCAGCAGCAGATTCGGGCAGTACGAGCAAGTCGCAAATTGTGTGTGCATAACAGAGCCCGCACAAAAGAGCGTCAATGCCCCATTCATTTCTCTCTACCTGAATCGGCATTTAGAACGTAGTTGTGAGTGCAGGAATCGTTGGCCGTCTCCGCTCCGCACCCACCACTTCCTTGGGCACTCCCCTCCAGTGCTGAGAGCTGTGTGGTGTAATTGTTTACTCTATCGCCCACATATTTTTTTCTTAACGATAATTTTTGACTTTGATTATTTCAGGGCTGAAAGTAGGAGCTGGGCGTTGCTGCATTTTTTGCCCAGATATACGGAGCCGCTTCGCTACTGTGGCCGCATGTCAAGCTCATATGCGAGATAAACAACACTGTAAGGTGAACCGCGAGCCAGAAGGCATGTTGGAGTTCGCGGAGTATTACGATTACAGGTATGCTTATGTTGAACTTTATAGTCATAGAGGTAGTTTCCGCGGTTACCCAACAATTGGGAACATTATCTCCTGCCATACAGACTTTGACAGCGCCTGAAAAAACCTCCAAAGCTTGTGGCCCATGTAGATCTCCCCCTCCCCCGTTGATGTGAGTGACCACTTGCCTTTGGACCGTTGTTCATCTTTCGCGTGTGTCTTCGTTAATTTTGCCCCATGCTGGTTTTGCGGCCGCATGCTGTTACGGAACTCAATCGGGCTTTTTAGTGAGGCGCAGGTTTCGGCGCGGCGCTTGCCCGTTTTCCATCGTTCGCTCCGGCTCCAAGCATTCAGTCATTCAGTTAGTGGTGGGAAAGAGGCTGGCGCTTCGTCAAACTCCACGCAGCACTGAAACGCCCCGATTAATTTCAGTGCTAATCTGTGTGTGCCCTTTGATAGCCCGCCGTCTAGCCTCTTTCACGCGTTCAGTGTGCTCTCGCCTCCAACCTTCTTCAGAAGCTCCCTTTTTCCTTTCTCTTCCCCTTCATGTTCGCCATTGAATACTCTGCTGTTAGCGGGTGAATTTCGCGACATCCAAGGCGCGGCTTGCGCGCAAACCACAATCCTAGCCAGTTGACTTAAAGGCATATGTCACGATAATCTGGCACTCGGTTAAATTGCTAGTAGGGTACTATGTAGGGGAAAATGGCGAAAAACGAAGTGGAATGGTCGAACCCCTGCAAAAAGCGTTCTTCTTAATAACTCGAAAAACAATTTCGGACGAGTTCCCGTAGGCATCTTGCCAATGACCACTACGGTAGGTACGGCTGCACGTATGTACTCATATATCCATGCAGCACCGCGGAAGCTTCATATCATTCCCTTTGCTTATTTTGATTAGCAAATGAAGCAATACGAGCACTAGGTACGGTCTTCCTTTTGTGGGCATGTTGCAACTTGATAGGGCCTTATAAAGGAACCTTCGTTGGTAAAGGCTCTACACTACGCCTGCTCAGGGGCGCAAAATTCCGTCCTGCCAGGTCCAGGTGCCAGGTGTGGCTGCTTATGCCCTATAAAGTTCAGTTCATAAAACGTTACAGGGTCTTGGTTGGCATGACCTGAATGACTTGTCGCTAAAGTGTGTATTGAGTCAATGAGTTGGCTAGGAATGTTGGCAGTGAGATGGCAACGTTGGCTAACCAGAAGATGTAAACTTCGCCCTCTCATGACCTCCATTTGCGGATTGTGTCTTTCGTACTATCTTTACTATGTGCCGTTTATCTTCCACGCCTCTCTAGATCCATATTGCGCGAAACCCTCGAGTAGGTTTTTGAACTGAGGTTCTCCTCAAGTGAACATCTCCTGTTATAGTCCAATGTATGAAAATGACAAGGAAGGATCTTCACCAGACGCCGTCTACGATGATGGCTGGACGCTGACGCTTCC